TAAAGCAAGTGATGACTATTACCTGTACCTAATTAGAATACAAAACAATCAAGTAACTAAGTCAGTTAAAGTGAACTCCATAAAAATAATAATTCTTCAAGTTTGTCCTTAGTAAAACATTTCAAACCACTTAATCTCATCGAGAAAAAAACTAGCCTGTCAACATTTTGAAAATATGACTATTCCCTTCTTTTAATTTTTAAAAATTATTTTTTTAACATTCCAGAAGCTGGTCACTGTATAAAAGTTATTTCATAATACTTATGGTAGCGTAGTGGTTACAAATCGGACTGCGAACCACAAGGTCAGCAGTTCGAAACTACCAGCTGCTCCACGGAAGAAAGATGAGGCATTTTGCTCCCGCAAAGATTAACAACCTTGGAAACCCTGTGCAGGGTCGCTGTGAGTCGGAACCAACTCCATGGCACATAACAACAACAACACCCTTTTAAAATAATGCATTTGTGAACGCTGCTGTAGTTGTTAAGTGCTGTTAAGTCAGTTCTGACCCATAGCAGCCCTGTATAGGGTTTCTAAGGAGCTGCCGGGCAGCTTGAACCACTGACCTTGCTATTTAAACCTACTTTGCTGCACAGGGCATTAATCCACAGCATCACACCAGGAGTCCACATCAATGCTATAGGTGGTCTAAAATCTTAATTAAAGATATGGTGTGTGGTGTATGAAGAACAGTTATTTTTCCAATACAAGTAAAATGCAAGTTGTTAATTAGGTACTTTAAATGAAAGAAGAGTGCTAATTGTTTTTCCTTCCTCTTTTTTAATTCAATGAAGGGAAAATTTCCTCCAAGTAGAGAAGAAACAAGGAAGGTCATTCTGGTTACACATAACAGATGGCCAGATTACTTAAGGGAATGCATCCCAGAATAATATTTTACTTTATTAACATAAATAGAAATTGAAGCCACTCAAAATCTTGTAAAGTATTCCACTATATCTCTTAGGTGTAATTTGAATTGTAAAAAGAAACCTTAAAATAATAAGTACACACATTGATAAATGACATTTAAATTTGCATTTTTTTTTATACTTTCAAGGTTTCCATGGTTGTCTTGAGAATAACTAGTCTACCTTTCAGTTGGGGGTAAGTTTACAGGGTGCACAGATCAGAAGAGGTTACTCAAAAATTCGTTCCTATGCACTTACGAATGATTTGGAACTCCTCTTTTTTTCAGTAGGAAGTGGGAAGCTGATTAATCATTTTTTAAAACATTAATGGACAGATAAGTGCATAGCCAGGTGGCAAAAATGGCAGCTGCAAGAGAATTTAAGCACCTCTGACACATTATGGAACAAAGCCAGTGCCATGAGCCATGCAGGAGAGAATGTACCTTTGGTGACTTTGTCAATCAGTAAGATTAAAAGGTCAACATGTATCAATAAAGAAAATATAAAACTCATTATTCTTCACTCGGATGACAGCCTTCAGAATACTTGATTAAAAGTATTAGCACAGGGAACTTTTCACCCCTGAGCAATCTCATGGATCAAATGCGTAAACACTCATGACCAGCAATCACTTGCAAATTGGATAAGAATCATTTCCCAGGCTTTGTAACTATCAAACCTTAGTTCTGTTCAAAAAATTATCAAAGAGGTGCTAAAAAAAACATGATCAAAGTGGTCTTTTCCTTTGGTACAAGAAAATCCAGAATGTTTCAGCAAAGGGAGCACCAAACTAGAGTCAGATCTGACTTTTAGTCTTCAGCTTGTGACTAACAAAATACCTAGTTGATTCAAATGGTTATCATGCTCAGCTGCTAAAGTAAAGGTTAGTTTAAGTCCTCCCAAAGGCACTTTGGAAGAAAGGCCTGATAATCTATTTACAAAAGAATCAACCGTTGAAATGCTGGTTAGCAGAGCTCTTTCTACTGTTACACACATGGGACCTAATCAACTCACAACAACTGACAATAGCTAACAAAGTGGGTGACCTTCATCAAATAAATTAATCTTTTTAAGTCCTGATTTCATGCTGTAGGATAAGCACTGGAATCAACTCAACAGCACTTAACAACAACAAGCCTCATACGTAAAATGAGAAGTTGACTCATATGCTATATAAGGTCATTTCCAGTTCTAAAATTGTGATGCCATGGTTTAGTTCATTTAAACATCAGCATAATGAAATGTTTATATTTGTTGGCTGCACAATTTGTTGATCTCAATGGAAACAAATATGGAATATCTAGAATAAGAACAGTGTCTATATCAGATTGAAAACAACACAGACATTTTGCATGCTTGGCGACGGTCTGCTTCCTTGCTTTTAGCATACTCTCGCCATCTTGCATCTCTCTTCAAAATATCCTCTTGGCTTAATTTCCAAACCTTGCTCATTTTGCAAATGCAAGTAAATCTTCATGTTCTCCAGGAGGAATTCACCAGCAAAGCATACTGATATTTCTCTAAAATGCTGTTGGTTTTATGATCTGTAGCACATAGTTTTATTTTGTTTTGCTTATTTATTATTATTATTTGTAATGGCTGCTGTTTTAGTGTCTAGATAGGAAACTCCTTCACAATAGAGATTATCAAGGCTTCTTTGTATTCCTTGCAATACCTAGCACAGTATCATTATGTTGTTGTCCTTAAATACTGACTCATAGTGACTTTATATGGGATTTCCGAGGAGTGGATGGTGGGTTTGAACCACTGATCTGTAGTTAGCTAGTCCAGTGCGTATCCTACAACACCACACTAAGACTCTGATGATACATTAGGCTTCTGTACATTCTATACCATTAACGAACCTATTACCATATATTTACCACATAAAAACTTCATATCACTAAACAATTTCAATTCATTTGACCCTTTTTCAATCTTAAAATTGATAGAATTCATTTACCAATCTATCTTTTTTATTTGCATCACTTTAAAAACATGAGGAACAAGATGGAACCTAATGTCCTAATAATTTCCTGAATAATATTGAGAAAGATAATTTTCTGTCCTATCCCTTTCACATATGTAATTAACATAACCTCACAATAAGACTGCAGAGATGACTGTAACTTGTATACACATCCCAAAACACATTCAATTATTTGACTTTATTAATCAAATAATTTCAAAAAGAGTCAAATTTGTTTATACAACTCAACATATTGTCATTGGTCAACTATTGTTGTCAAGGGCTGTTGTGTTGATTCAGACTCACAGAGGCTTTGTAGAGGGTTTCCAACCACTGACTTTCACTTAATGATTTCTATGTTCATTCCTAGGCAATCATCCTGCACTTTATATATATATATATATATATAAAGAGAGAGAGAATCTTGATGTGGAGCTGTGGGTTAATGTTCTGGACTGAAAAATTGGCAGTTTAAGCTCACCAGCCACTCCTTGGAAATCCTATAAAGAGTTGCTATGGGTCAGAACTGACTCGACGGCACTTAACAACAAATATGTGTGTGTGTGTGTGTGTGTTTTAATTCTTGAGTCTACTGTTGTTATACTTAAGTGATGCTGAGTCGTTTTTAACTAATATGACCCTATGTATAATAGAACAAAATGTTGCCCAGTTATGCACCATCCTCACTATCATTGGTATGTTTGCAGCCACTGATTGAATCAGTCTCAGAATCTTTCTCTTTTTCACTGACCTTTTAGTCCTTCTCAAGGGACTATTAGTAATGGATGTTTGTATCTGTTGTTTCCCATTCTGGTTCATGCCTAACCAGCAAATGAAGGTACCAAAAGCATTACTCCAACCAAAGGAAATCAAAAGGATAATAACAGAATACTATGAAAAGCTGTACTCCAACAAATTTAAAAACTTAGAAGAGATGGATGCATTTTTAGAAAAACATGACCTACTTAAACTTACTCAGAGTGATGTAGAAAACCTGAACAGACCCATAACAAAAGAAGAAATTGATCAGTTAATGAAAAAACTCACAACCAAAATAAGTCCAAGCCTAGATGGCTTCACTGGTGAGTTCTACCAAACATTCAGAGAAGAGCTGTCACCAATCCTACTCAAATTATTCCAGAATATACAGGAGGATGGAAAACTTTCTAATACATTTTATAAAACAATCATAGCCCTCATACCAAAACCAAGGAAGGACGTCACTAAGAAAGAAAATTATAGACCAATATGCCTCATGAACATCGATGAAAAAATTCTCAACAAAATCCTAGACAACAGAATCCAGCAACACATCAAAAAGATAATACATCATGATCAAGTGGGATTCATATCAGGGATGCA